TGCTACCAGATTATGGTGTAGGCATGATCTATGAGAATTGTCTGATTAGCAAAAGGGAGAAGGGACTTAAAGAAAGATCCTAGTGGTGATGGGGGTTGAGTATTAAAACCAAACAGATTCAAATTTTGACACACACAGGCTTGGACTATTTCTGACGATGTCCCCTCCCCCGCAGCATGAATATGTTCTGTATCTGAGTGATAATTATGTGCTGTGTTGCCATCTCTGCCCTCACATCACTTATTTTAACTTTTCACCTTAGAAATATTTTAGAAGCTGGCTGTTCTGCTTCCAGTGCTGTGACATATGTCAATGATTTTTTTTTTGAAGCCCTTACTTCAATCATAGAGTCATATGGTGTTCTGCATCAGCTGTAATGTGACAGAAAATTATGTTTATGTAATTCCATTTGAAAGAAGAAGAGCTTTGATCGATGGCTGCTGATCAAAGTTCTCGTGGCATCAGACAGGAATGTGCACAGATTCTCTTTCCTTGTTGGCTAATGATGATGATCACCATACTCCAGGTGCCATTTTGTGCTGCCATTTTGTGCACCTTCAGAATACTTCTGGTGTGTATTGTGCAGCACCTTTTGCTTAAAGTTCTAGCAATACAGAATAAGCAGTGGGCGGGATTAACAAGTCAACCATACAGTAATTAAACTAGTTTAGACTGTAGTACTGGGATGCTGCACACAGCTCTTTTATTTATTTCATAAATTGATTCTTTATGTATAAAAACTGTTGTGGGTTAAAAGGACATTTCTGCTCAAAATAGATTTTATCATAAAAGCTTTGGACAAGATTTTTTAAAAATAGGAGCCTAAAATTGGCTGTCTGTCGGCACCTAGACAAGTGGCCTGATTTCCAAAACTGCTGAGGACAAAGAAGCTCCGATTAACTTCACTGAGTGCTATTGAGTGCTCGGCACTTCAGGAAATCAGGCCACTTACATAGGTGTCTTAGGAGCCAAAATCTAGGATTCTATTTTTGACAAATCTTGGACTATTTGGTAGTAGATATTTGCAGATTCTTTCAGAGGCTGCTTTGTTATATATACACAAAGAAGGTGTCTTCTCTTTAAGAGCATTCTCCCCACTTTTGCAGCGGTGCAGAGTAAAATGTGGATTTTCTGGAGTATAAATGCTGAACTAGCAGTTTACAAATTGGTGTTTGCAGAAATGTAAGGCAGGAATGAGATTAAGAAATAAACCTTGTGATTCATGGAGTTAGCTCTTTGCCTGCAAAAGTTGGAAGGAATTTTTCTCCTACACATATCTTAGACCTAATGGACATGTTCATTGGGATAATGGGTGTTGTGTCTTCCTGGGGACAGACATTCAGCCAATTCAAGTACAGGTAACAACTGGAACATGTTTATGAATGTATAAGTCTCACTGCCTAACTTATGGTGATCTTGAAGGAAGTGCTTGTACACAGGAAAGGGGGACACATAGGAAGTTCATAGGGAGGCCAGAGTCTAAAAGACAGACATCCCAAATAGCATACACAAATACAATTTCACTACAGAGGGGTATATGTGTGTGAGCTACGTAAGATGCATCAAGTCTCAAGTCTAGAGGCAGAGAACAGGACTAGGTGGACCAATTATCATATCTGGTATGGCAAATCTAAAATTGTAATTATTTCCTTCAGTTACTTTGTATAAGGTACATAAGAATAAGGATAAATAATGTAATTGTTTCTAGGTTATGTATTGATTGATTGCAGTTGTGTGGATGATTAACTGCATTAGTGCTGCTGCGTTAGACAGACTCCCCACCATAACTGAAGTGGCCTTGCTCTGTGAGCCAATTCCTGTATAAACATTTAAAATAAAGATGAATAGGTTTTATGAATCAGTCCTGATGTCTGTATTGTATCTTTATAATAAATGACTTCAAGGGGTTTGCCTGAGATCTTACAAAAAATGTGTGACATTCCTCTGAAGAGAAGAATAACTTCAAGCAATGTATTACATCATTTATTATTCTGATACTTCTGTGACAGATTATACAATGTCCAAATCTTTGTTTTCAGTCATGCATCTGTGTGCTAATTCCATCATATTATTTTTAAGGAAGTTTTGGGACTTGTGGGAAATCATCAGAAATGGTCATCCCAGGATGAAAGGGGAACATTGACTGATACATTTTATATGTCTGTATATCCATATATCTGTTTTTCCTCCAAACTTCAAAGTGTTATAGAATTACAAATGATGGGAGAAATATATCTGCCCAATGATGGGAGAAATTTACTGCCCTGCTCCCATTGACTTTCCATGTCTCAACGTGTATATTACAGAGATAACACTGTACCCGCCAGTGGATGCATAATTCACATATATTTTATGGGCTGTTTGTTTTTTAACTTGGAAGGATGTGACTTCATTGGGATTAAGACCAACTAAAGTGTTTGCCAAAATAGCATTTCTGCTTGCCCTTCACAAAACCTAAAACCCATTGTATGAAAGAGCCAGGCTCAGGCATGAGTATAAATTGTGCATGAGCCAGGACAAAGCCTCTAGTTTGTCTCCCTCCAGCTCACTTCCAGAGAATGTTCCTAGGTATCCGAAGCAAGTGAAAAAGGTTGGAGGATGCAGGCATTACAAATCAGTCCAGTTAAACTTCAGAGCAGTGTTAACATTGTTTTTAACCAAAGCTTTATTTCACCACTTGACAGCATGCAATCTCTAAATGAAAATAATGTTCTGGCTACATGATTAAACGTGGTTGCCAGATTTACAGTTCCCAAAGGCACAACTTTAATATATGTGCATACTAGGTAGGAGTCTTTTCTGGCAGATGTGGGCAGAGGCTATTGGACGTCAATAAATGTCTGGATGGAGAAACCTCAAAAATGTTAGTCTGACAGGCATTGGTATCCACTGGTACATTATCCAGTAGAAAGGAAATGCCTCTAAGAACATTCTGTAATATCTGTCAGTATTGCCCACAGGTCTGTCTGAGCGTAATCAGCTGGGAAAGAAAAGTCAGAATAGATAAAATGGTCAACTCAAATTCAGAACTTCTTCAACCATATTATAGTCTGCACTGGACCCTCCTTGCAACTTAATCCCAAAAGAATTTAGACATGCACCACTGTTAATTTTATAGCAGTGTAAACACAGTACTGCAGAGTGATTTTTAGCCATTTCTGATCCTAGAGTGCAAATTCAACTTACTTGAAGGTAGAATTATTTGTATTATAATAGCACTCTGAGGCCCCAGTGGGGATCGGGGCCACATTTTACTAGGTGCTGTACAAAACTCTATGAAAATACAGTTCCTGCCCCAAGATGCTTATATTCCATGATTTGCACCTTAAATATAAATTAATTTAACTAATAATACATTCTCTACTTAGCCCCGCTGGATGAGTGGCTGTTAATGTCTGAGCACTGTGTGTCCTTCACAGAGAAAGATGGGTGGCCTCTGGAAGAAGACAGACATTTGCTCTGAGATTGCCCTGCTGTAATTGGAAACTGGATTCTAGAAATTCAGGGAGGGTTGTCAGATAAAGGATTATAGGATAACAGTCATTCTGCAGAGAATTCATAAGAAACCCTTCAAATTATACAGAGTCCAATGAGACAGTACAAATAATAAGACTAACAACTCTCTTCCTTTCTCTCCCTGCACACACTATTCTAACTGTAAACATAAAACAGTGGTGCAGATTTCTTTTCCTAACTATTTCATGCACTTATATCACATGCTTGTTTTTAGAAAGTTTTTCTGAGTATTAATATTCATGCATTAAACTCTTTTAATCCAGGTCCCCAGCCAGTTTAGAATCAGGCTTGGTTTCATAATATTCTAAATCCAACCAGATCCTGATCAGTTTTTGTAAAAAAAATTAAATTAAATCTAACTTCTCCTGAGAGAGTAAGTTCAGTATGGTGTTCAGATTCCATGTGGAGTACTTTGCAGTATGGACTGAGTCGCCACATTAGTATCAATTATTGCTTGTGACAACAAAGGGGCTGTGATGGGGTGTACCTGGCAGTTGTTGCCCCTTGCCAGAGGCTCCACTACCTTCAAGCACCCTGCCTTAGTGCTTCCCCCCCTCAGAAGGTATCCTGCTGTAAGGGAAGAAGACAAGTTGACCTCTCCAGAGGTGGCTTATAGCAGCCTGCCATGATGAGCTGCCAACCAAACCACCAAGAGTTGGTCCTCTGGCACCTAGATGGAGCAGGAGCAGGTGGAGGCCAATCAAGGCCCAGCAGGCCAGATAAAAAGAGCTGGCTGTTTCTGCTAGGGGACACGTTTGGGTAAAGTCAGGAGAGGGAGGGAGGAAAGGAAGGATCAATCTCCCTGCCTTAAGCCAAGTAACCTGGCCAGTCAGGACCCCAACCTTGATTAGTGTATTTGCTTTGGACCTCTGTGAATGAAAATTGTTTATGTTAAAGAGTTTAACATGTAGGTGGCTATCTTGAGTTCAGTGTTAATTTGTTTTCTGTAAGTCTGATGCAAATCTATTCCATAAGGTGCTGGGCTCATGTGGGCCTTTGACAGGGGCAGTCTGACCTCCTCCTTGCTTATTGTACAAAAAGAAGTGCACATCACATAAAATTTAATGACCTCTGTGTGTGTGTGGAATTACTCTTACACAGGACATATCTATCTATCCCTTATTATCATATGTGTATATCTTCTGAACACTAAACGTAATTGATCACCTCAAACATCAAATTGCTAGCTAGCTTAAAATGAAATCAGTGTGGATCTTCTACTTCTAGGTAGAAAACTCAACTGTATTGGGAAATATAATTATGAAGACAACCATCCTTCCAGAAACAGTTATAAAACTAGGCTCTTGGTGTCTGTTTCAGCAGCTTGGAATGATTCATTTAGATCAGTAAGATGAACGCTAATAATCAGCACAAACTTTAAAACAATGTGCAGTCCTTTGAATCTTGAAACAAAATCCAATAAGCATCTGATAAAGGAAGTCCATTTGGAGTCCTAAAAGGTTTCTCTTCTCTTTTTTCCACAGAGTCCAAGCTTTCTCTTTGAAGCTCTCTTTCCTGCACATAACACAGTAACTGAAGAGTTGGATCCCTTGTTCAACCTGCATGAGACCATTGCTAAGGTAAGGGAAATTGAGACGCCTTACCTAAGTCACAAATGCTTTATTTCATGTTGGCAAATTGTGCTTGTTAGTCAGACAAGCTGTTTTCAAAGATGAAATGTCTCCTTCCTAGGGGTCTGTTTATTTCATAGCTAAAAGTAACATGTGGGTCTTTCAGTCATATTAGTATTGTTATGTGCACTACTGGGGATACTGATGAGATTGCATGAACAAAGAAAACTTGTAACCTTATATAAGCTGTATTTTATGTAACTTCCTGTCTCATGGTCAGAGACATGTTGCACAGTTGAATTGGTACCATTCACTGGATGGCAGAGTGTTGCACCATCCTTTTTGTGGGAAATCTACTACAAGTGAATGGCTAATTTATGACTGGGACACCACAGGAATTCTTCCTGGATCCTCCCCAAGAGTGGCACTGAATCAGTGTATCTCCCAGGTAACGTGACCAACTCGCTTTCTGAGCAACACTGGCTGGCTCCAGCCTCCCCAGTAGAGAACAAGTTACTGGAGGTTGTGTCTTTGGTTTTAGAGGGCCCCTAGGTTGGGTTCTGCCACTAGAAGAGATATAGTATTATTGTATTGCCTGCTAGCTTCTGATGAATGGCCAACCTGACAAGACAAAGGTCAAATGCTTATCTAAAACATCTGAATGTTTTCTAGCTCTTCTCTCAGCCTTCTAATCTGACCTGAGTGTGCCTCCAAACAATCTGCTAGTATATCCTAGCAACCTCTCCCTGGTCCTCCAAGATGCTCTCATTTCCTCTTTCCTCCTCACATCCTTCCTGTGATGGGGTGTCTACCCCATACAAAGCCTGAACAGGTGAAATAAGCCAATTAACCTTACAGGCTGCACCTCCAGGAGAGCCAAGGACTGATAAGGCCTAATGGCTGATGAAGCCTAGCTGGGGGAGGAGCTGGAATGAGGCTTAGAAAGAGAGAAAGTTGGTGGAAAAGGGCTATAGGGAGGAGCTCGGTAGTCACTCTTTAGTGAGGAGGGGAGTTAGCTAGGTTCAAGGAGGAGTTCTAGGCAGAGAGTAAGCCCTGGGATCCTGCTTTGCACTACACACCCTGGGCAGAAGCTGGGAAGGGAAAGTAGCCATGGGGAGCAGGGGACACACCAGTGGTAAACCCAGAGGTGGGCAAGAAGATAGAGAAGAGAGGTAGGAAAGAGCCCAGGGAAGCAGCAACAGGCTCGGAGCTTGAGCAGACCTCAGTTGCTGGGCAGAGGGTCCCTTCTGCTGGAGCCTGGAATAGTGGGCAGGCCTGAATTCTTCTGGGAAAGTGTCAGTCTTGAATGGGAAGACTGCCTGGAATGGCACCCGGACAGCTGATCAGGTGAGACTTTGTTACCCTGGAAGGGGAAAACTGTATAATGACCTGGCCAGAGGGTCACACCATGAAGAGGAAGCTCTGTGACTATGAGAGAGCTAATCCCCAGCTGCAGCCACAAGTAGACCCCCCAGGTGAGAATAAACCCTGCTACAACTCCAATAAGCCCTGGCTCTAACAAGATGTAAGACTACAAACAAATTGAACTTAATGCAACCAGATGCTTTTTCTTAAGTTATAAGAGCGTAAGAACAGGATTTCTTATAAGTTACAAATACATGGGCCCTGTGAACTGAGTGCTTTCTATATTTGGAGTTATTTCACTTAGAAAAGCAGCTGCTGTGGACACACTTCTAACAAAAAATTCCCGAGGCTTAGCAGGGTGTAGGCTTAGCAGGCAGGCGCTGCAGCTGCACTGATAAGATAGATAGTAACTCCTCTGGATTTAAAAAAAAACAGACATGGTCTTTTGAGCCTCAGGCTGCAAGAGGCTGGGAGTACTGAAGATTAAGGAGCAGTAATGATGGGGGAGTCCCCTCTGGTCCTTCTTGGCAGGAAAGGTGGCTGTTATGACATGGGTCCTTCATGTCAAAGCAACTTAAAAGGGATCATGAGACCCCCATCTTTGAACCCTGAGGCTGGAGGAGATGTGAATCATTTAATCATTGTTTCATGATGAACCATGACCACGATGAATACTCTACCTTTGAATAGTCCCTCAGTACCTGTTGATTAGCCTAGGAAAACATGCTTTAATAAAGTAATGAGAGAGTTATCTGTTAATATTTTGGAATATCACACATGACTTTATAGTAGTTTCACAGCTTCCCATTGCTCATTGCAAGTCTCTTGGGATAAAACTGTGTAGAATACAGTATGCTACAGTGTTATTTTTGCAGTGTGTTTCTTGCTATATCCCAAAATACTTTTATGGAGATAAATAGCACATAGAGTCATGGGGCCAGATCCTCAGCTTGTGTAAATTGGTGTAGCTCCATTGACATCAATGGAGCTAAATCAGATTATGCCATCTGAGGATATGGCCCATGAAAGTAAAGTTTGTTCTCACACTCGCACATATATATTCTGTATGGTGGAGAGAAGCAACATGGCTGTACTGGATAGCAAGAGCTGTCAGCCATAAATGGATGAGCATTTAGAGGGCTAATGATGCACACCCTAGGCTCCTTCTGATTTGAGTACCTCTAACTGTCTCAGATGTGGTCTGAAGACCATTGAAGTCAGTGGATTCCCATTCAGTGGACTTTTATCTGTCACCAATAACCTACTAATCAAAGCCTGTTGTGGCTTGTTGTTGTAACAATCCAGCTCCTTTAACTTATCTTTGTAAGATGTGTTATTAATTGTAAAGCCTGAATTGTTCGTTGAATTCTTGCCTCTGTGCCTGAGGTATCATGCCATTTCTATTTTTCCTTGGCAAGCTTGTTTTCTGTCAACCCTACATTTGATACTGGTGGCTGCATGTCCATGCAAGAGAGTTTCAGGATATGTAATCAGGGTTCAGACAAGTCTTTTGATTAGAAACTATTCCACTGGTCTTTTTACGTGAGACTGATTTCCATGCTATGGGTTCCAACGTGACAGCAAATTTTTTACATTATTAGTGGTACCTGCTCTTAATTCTTTCAAAGTACAGGTATGTACATGGAGAAATTTCGGTAAAGGGGTAACATGTATAAAAGAAAAAGGCTTAAATTATTCTGGCCATTTGTGGTAGCATAAATGTACTGCAAAACATTTTGGCTCAACTACCGTTTTACTGTGTACATTCAGTGATGTCCATGCTTGGAATGTACAATATGGATATGGGCATGTTTTTATATACAATATATGGGTATGAAATAGCAAGAATAAAGTATACAGTTATATCAGAAGTCTGAATGTCAGGAGTTGGACTCCAGAGGAGATGATACAGAGCAGCTACTACAAGGTGGATTGCCTACCCAGTACATAATATTTTATTTATTCACATGAACCCACGCTTGAATGCAAACATTAATATCAGGTTGTCAAAGTTCTGTAAGAAAAGATCCAAGACCTAAGAGTCTTGCAGAGCAGCAATGTAGATGATGATGGATGCTTACAGTTTGCTGTAGCACTAACAGGCTGTATAACATTGAAAGTTTGAGTGTCGCAGTGTTGACAACTCCTATGATTTTATAGCATGTCTCACTTTATTTGTTGTTTTTTCTTAAGGCTCCAACTCCAGGATTTGTGAGAATCTCAGCTTTCATTAGCCCTCATGGTGGCAAAGAAAAGCTGGAAAACATGACTTGAGCACAACCTAAAGGCTCTATAACCCAGAGGGCAAAGAAAGCTTAAAATGTATTGGCTTAAGAATCATAATTTTTTTAAAAATAATCTTGTGATTTTTTTTGAGGGCCTGATTCATGATTTCTGACTGTTGGGGGTTGGGAATACTGTTGACTTCAGAGTCACACATTGTCTTTTCTCATGTGCCTTTGCACTGGAACATCACTAGTCAGTGGGAAGTTTAAAGAGATTAGGGTCGAGCACGGTCAGCTTGTATTCTGAGGACACCACTCCCTTGAATATACTCCAGCTATGGGTAGGTCTATACAGTATCTTGAAGGTACAATTGCCAGCTTGAGGAGACACATCTGTTCTAGCTCTCATCAAGCTAGTGTGCTAAAAATAGAATTGTAGCTATTCTGGCTGGAGGGACTAGCCACTCAAGTACGTACTTGGGGGTCTTGGACATGATCATACTCAGGGGGCTCGCTCATCCTGCTGCTCACGCCACTGTGCTAATGCTTCTATTTGTAGTGTACTGTCTCAATCAGAGTTAGTGCAGTTATGTCTCCTCAAGCTGCTAGCCACACCTCTAGCTCCAGGGGAGACATATCCTGTGGTAACTGGGTGCCTGCAATCTGTTGAGAGTGCCAAACCCAAAGCCAGTATATTTTCATGTAGCTTGGGCCTGTATAAAAATCAAAGGGTTCTGGGATCAAATAATAATGCTGATAGGTTCTCTATTGTCTTAACCTTCCTCTTATGATGGCACTACTGACGTGCAGTTAAAAACTTTGAGGACAGGGAGAGAATCCAGAAAATCTCAAGTGTATCAGGCAGAAGGGGTGGGCCCAGATGTCTGTACTCCTGTCCCTGTTGGACATGGATAACACTATTCACTCATATTGTTGTTCAGAAAATAGCAAACTGGACTTGCAGAGAGTTCTGGACTTGCTTTCACACAAATATATCATGGTCACTGCACACATCACTGATGTCTTTAAATAGAAGTTTTAATTGACTTTGCTTGACAGAATCTATATGTTTGAGGCCTACTTCTGCAGTCCTGACTCAGAAGTGAACTTCTTTTGCTAACCAAAGGGAAGGATGGATGGGAAAAAGACAGGAAAGAAGGAGGGAGAAATTGAAGGGGAGCAGGGAATGTGGTTTTTTTTGTTTTTTTGTTTTTAATGGGGATGCTAGGAGAGAACACAACACAGACAAAGGCATAAGGGGAAAGAAGTGAGATGGAATGACAGAGAGAACAGTTACTGGACATAGAAAAATAAAACTGAGGGAAATCAAGGAAGAAAAAGAATTCAGAAACAAACAAGAGTGAGAAGAAAAATGCAAACACAAGGGAGATATAGTAAAAAGGAAATGTAATTATTACA